CACTGGATCCTCTGCAAAATCCAGGTGCCCTGAGCTGGTTTGTGCAGCTCTTCAGACATTTCCACCCCTCAGGATTTGTTTGTGGCTGGATACAGCCCTGTCTATGAGAGGTTAAAAGATCCCTGGGTATTCCGAGCCCTGAGCATGTTTCCAAAACAGAATGTAAACACTTTTATTGTGACAAGGATTGCTCCTTCTCCCTGCTTTGTGTGATGCAGCAAGGAAAAGGAGAGCACTTTTTCTCTCCTCATAAAGCAGGGTGTGTTCAGGCTCCGACATTTACATCAAACAAGTGCATGGCTCCCTTCCCATCTTTCTGGCTGTCCTGAGGTCATGGATTTGCAATTTCCCTGCTGGCAAATCCAGAGCACTCAAAGGAGATGACTTTGCTGGAGTTTTGTTTTTTTTTCCTCGCTGCAACAGAAAATGCCACAGTGAAACCTGAGGAGAGGAGATTGGAAATGAGGAAACAGTGGAAAGGTGTTATTTCAACTTTCCCCTTGGTCTTCAGCAGCCAAATCCTGGCCTCAGATACCAGGGAGCTGTGGATACTTGCTGGCCTTGGGAAGAATTACAGAACACCCTGAGCCAGAAGGGATTCCCAAGGGTGAGAATCCAACTTCAGTCCCTGCACAGACCCCCCAAAAATCCCAACCTGAACATCCCTGGTGTCCAAACACTCCTGGAGCTCTGGCAGCCTCGGGAATGTCACCATTCCCTGGGAGCCTGGGCAGTGCCCAGCACCCTCTGGATGAAGAACCCATCCCTAAAACCCAACCAGACTCCCCTGGCACAGCTCCAGCCCTTCCCTGGGTCCTGTCCCTGCTCAGCAAAGAAGCAAAGCCCATTTCAAGTGTGGACTCAGCAAAGTGACTGACCCCTGATCCAGTTTTTCCCATTCTGGGAAAACCAATCAATGTAATTGAGCTGTTGGAGCAAGTCCAGAGGAGATTAAAAGGATGGAGAAGCTCTCCTACAAGGAAAGGCTGGGAGAATTGGGATTGTTCAGCCTGGAAAAGACTTCAGGGTGACCTAATTGCAGCATCCAGTGCCTGAAGGAAGCCTACAAAAAACATGGAGAATGACTATTTACAAGGGCCTGGAATGACAAGGAAGGTTTTTCCATTCAGATCATTCCCCTGCTCTGGTTTAGACTCTTGCTGGTACAAAATCCATGTGCAAAAAGGTTTGTCAGCACCTGTAGTGGGAAATAGGTCTCCAGGACTGACAAACGCAGCCTTGCTGAGGCAGAGCAAGAGTTTTAACCAAAATAAAGGATTTCCCCCTCATTTTTCAATATTCCACTGCACAGGAATGCTGGAGGTCAGAAGCTGAGATACACACAGAGAGGACACTGCCCAGCTGTTCAATCCCACGGGCCAGATGCACCTTCTGGGTCAGGATGTCCCTCCACAGCCATTGTTGGGATCTGGGAGGATGCACCTGGACAAGGATTGTCCAAAAGTCGCTGCATTCCTGCTGCAGGTCCAGGACCTCTGCTCGGAGCCTCAGTGGGGAAAGCTGGGCTGACCCCATGTGGCCATGGCCTTGTTATGGCACGGTTTTGGTTTTAAAATCATTGACTTTCCACTTACTCAGACAAAAATGTAAAATCTACCCCAAATCCATAAAATCTTTCCATCGAGGAAAAGGCACTGTTGAGGGAGTTAAGTTAAACCTCTGTCTGTCATTTTTCACACCATGGAAATGTGTCCACACTACCAGTGTCCCTGTTCAACCAGGCAAAGCAGCACAATTTAATATTCATTTTTAGCATGGATGGGACATTCCCAGCCCTCTGAATCCCTCAAACCAAACGAGAAGGCATAGGAGGAGAAACCCACACCGAGTTTGTGCCTTTCCCTTGCAAGAAAAGGTTAAATATTGCAGTGGTTCATCTGGCTGCAATCTGGGAGCTTCGCCCCCAGATTTTGGGTGTGCCTGGACCGAGGGAGGTCAGTGTGTGTCATCTGGTCACTCCGGGCCTGAAGAAGTCAAAAATAAGGAATGTTGATCGTTTCCACAGTTACAGAATGATTCATTCTGATGGTAAAGTAACAGGGGAGACACATGGAAAATGAAAATCATGTCTCAGAGGCGTTTTGTGTAATTATTGTGCTCATCAGTTCTCCTGCTGCAGGCTACACACATGTCCTGACCTCAGCTATTCATAAAACTGTCTCTTGAGATGATCCCAAAGTTGAGGATTTTATTGAAAAGGAATTGAAACCCTCACTCTGTCAGCCTTGGAGGCTGAACAAGGCCCGTCCCAGCACAGGTCTTGTCCAAGCAGAGCAATGGAGCTTCCAAAAACAACTGCACAGAGATAAAAATTATCAAAGTGACGGCATGGAGGGACAGGACAAGAGGTAAGAGCTTTAAATTGGAAGAAGGTGAGTTTAGATGGGATATTAGGAAGGAATTCTTCCCTGTGAGGGTGGTGAAACCCTGGCACAGGGTGCCCAGAGAAGCTGTGGCTGCCCCTGGATCCCTGCAAGTGTCCAAGGCCAGGCTGGACAGGGCTTGGAGCAACCTGGGGTAATGGAAGGTGTCCCTGCCATGGCAGGAACTGGAACAAAATGATCTTTAAAGGTCCTTTCCCGTCCAACCCAGTCTGGAATTCCATGATTCTGTAATTCCAAACCCATCAAACGCCTCAGCCTTGGCGCCCCTGCGGTGGAACGAGGGGTGTGTGCGTGTGTGTGTGCGAGCCGAGGCCTGTCATGCCTCGCTGCCCTCACCCTTCCCCTCGCAGAGCCCACGGGGGCTTCTGTGAGGGTGAAAAGACCCTTCAGGCGGCGGGAACAGCGCCGCGACCTGACCTGCCACCACCACACGGCACCGTCCGCCATCTTGGCGGAGCCTGAGGGCGGGGCGGGAGGGGCGTGGCCTGTGGGGAAGGGGGCGTGCCCACAGCGCTCCCGCCCAACCCGCGTGAGGGGGCGGGGCGGGCCCCAAACGCCGCGAGGCCTTAGAGGTTCTACGAGTGGGCGTGGCCAGTCGGCGGAGGTCGGCGGCGATTGGTTGCGTTTGGTAGCGGTGGGCTGTGATTGGCTGCGGCTGGCAGTGGTTGGCTGTGATTGGCTGAGCGGGGCGGGAGGGCGCGCGCGCGCGCCGGGCCCGGCACGGCCCCGCCCACCCTTGCCACGTCCGTGCGGCGCGTGCGGCGGGGCCGGCGCGCGCGGGTGAGTGGGGCCGGGGGGCCCTGAGGGGCTGCGGGAGGCGGAACCCTGGGACGGCTCGGTCTGGGGAGGGTTCCCATCCCCAGAGAGGCCGCTTCAGCTCAGGGGAGCTGTGGGGACACCACTGAGGGGCTGCGCGTGTGTGTGGGGTTGATGTGACCGCCCCGCAGGTCTCTGTGTGAGGCAACAGGATGCCCCCTCCAGCGAGGGGGTGCCCTCAGTAGACCGTGTGTGAATTGAGGGGTCCCCTCTGAGGGGTTGGTTTGGGGAAGGGTCTTACCCCTGAGGGGAGCTGTGGGGAATCCCTGAGAGGCCGTGTGTGGGGTCAGGGGGTGTGGGATCCCCCTAAAGGGCTGTGTTGATGGAGGGGTTGAGGGGATCTCCCCCGAGGTGGGGGGAGCCCCTCAGAGGTTGGCTGTGCAGGGGAATTCTGTCCCCAGGGGCTGCTTCAGCTGAGGAAAGCTGTGGGCAGCTGGGCTTTGTCACCTCGTTCCCCAGAACTGAGGGGCTGGCAGAGGTCTGGCCAAGCTTCCCAGGGATTTTGGGGGTGTCCCCCGGGATGGCAGCTCGGCTCAGGGGGTCCCTGGCCATTCCCTGCTCCCTACACACGTGGGGATCCCAGGGATGTTCCAGGGAAACTTCAGCTGTGCACCAGGACGACCCACAGGCCAGAGCTCTTCTTCCCTGTACTTTAATCTTTTTTTTTTTTGTCTTATTTATAATTGACATTATCCTAAGTCATATTCCTGCCTTCAGAAAATGAGCGTAGCTTGCAACTCCGTCCTGCTCCAGCTGTGCCGGAAGTAATTGGGAAAATGACTCTTAATTGGTCACGAATTGCTCATAGAGCATCATAAATTTTATTTTCTCCATGTGCTTTTTCCCCCGGTGTGCTGTAACCCTGAGCTGGAGTTTGAGTTTGGCTTTATTCTGTATAGACACTCTTTGAATGTTGATACGGGCATTTGGGAATTCTGGGGGACAGGAAAAGTGACATTGGAATAGTTGAGTTGTAGGAACAGAGAAATCTGTAGAAATGTTTCTCTTTGCAATTCGTCTTTAGCGCTGTTTCATTTTGAAAATTCACACGGGATGAGAGTTTGTGTTGCTGTTTAATTGCTATAACAGCAATTTTTTTATATGCAAAATTAGGATGAGAGCTGGGATTCAAAGGCCAGTATGTACCAGCAGGTGGCATAAAGAAAGATTTTTGTGTTGTTTTTTTTTAGTTAAGAAACTTCAGTTGAGTTTCTGGAGCCACTTTCACTTTTGAGCCGCATTACACTGTGATTCTTCACAGCAAACATTCTGTTCTTTCTCTGGGTTGTGAGGTGTCTGATTTTAAAAAGTGTCATCCCAAACACTTTTTTCTTTCTGCTGTTTATTTGGCCTGACCACTAGTGTGTGACTGCTGTGTTGTTCATGGTGCAGCTAAGGCAATCTGAAAATTTAGAAAGAAATTAAAAGTTCTCATGATCTCTTCTCATACCAGAACCCTGACCAGGTATTCCAGAGAGGACAGATTGAGAATTATTTTCCTTTATCATAGAATTCCAGGTTGGAAGGGACTTTAAAGCCCATCTCATTCCCATGGGCAGGGACACCTTCCACTGTCCCAGGTTGCTCCAAGCCCTGTCCAACCTTGCCTTGAATGCAATAAGGAAAATACATCTGGGTTTGTGACCCAGAACAACCCCAGCTCCCTTAATCATTAACACGTGTCTCACTGTCCCCTTGGCACTGCTGCTTTCGCTGCTCATGGACACTGTGGAGCTGTGTAAACACGGGGAGCAAACAGGACAGGCAGGGCTGTGCCTGTGCCATCACCTGCTCTGGGACGTGCCCGACACATTCAATATTTGTGGGGTGGAACTGCTTGGAAAAACGTGCATTATTCCCACTGCAGGTTTTAAATTAACAGGAGTGCAAATGATGGCTAGACAGGTTGTTGGGAGGTTTCTTGAGGGTGATGCTTTCCTTTCCAGAGGGCTGCAGAAGGTAAATGCCCTCCTCAAAGCCTTATCAGGCAGGATTTTTGCAGGACAAACACACGAACTGCGCGTGTTGCCCCGGCTGACGTGCGCCGTGTCCGGGTGCATGCACTGTGTAAACCCAGCAGGTGAAGGCTGAGCAGATAAAGCGAACAGCAGTGTATTCACCTTCCAGGAAATCCCTGAGGAAAATCCCGTGGCATGCTACAGGGGGAACAACTTCCTGAGAGATTAAACCGTGCCTTACCTGCTTCATTGCATTCCAGATCTCTGTTTGCAGCCATGATGCCCGTGGCCACCGTGATGCCCGATGACACACCCATGTTCGACCCCAGGATCCTGCAGGAACTCGACTGGAGTGAGAACACCACCACCTTTTCTCCTGCTATTTCTCCACTGGATCCAGGGGATGGGCTGGTCCTCAGACCACTTTGCACAGCTGATTTAAATCGAGGTAGAATCCTGGTTTATCTTTGCCACAAATGGCACTGGGGGGCTGAGATGCTAACTTCTGTTTCTGCAGGTGCTCTCAGTAGATTGGGATTGCTCATTTTCCCCGATTGTTATTTTTATCAGTATTATTATTATTTTTCATAATTATTTTTATCAGTAAACAATTTGATGGAACTTTAGAACATCCTGAATTGCAAGCGACCCACAGGGATCATTGAGTCCAACTCCTAAACCTGCACAGGATATCCCAACAATCCCACCCTGTGCCTTGTCCTAACATCCCTTGGGCTCTGGTAGCCTTGGGGCTCTGAGCACATCCCTGAATTTGAGCTTTTGGCATTATGGATTGGGGGGCCCTGAAAATTTGGTTTACTGTTTTAATCCTAAAATTCAAGTAAAATCTTCCAAATAATCCACAAGTTCCCATTCACCATGGTTTTGGAGAGGGAGCACAGTTGTTCACACTGTACTCTTTAATACCAAAGAAACACGAACAAGCATCTTGGTGCATGAATTCTCCTTCAGTTCTGGAATTTGGATAAAAACATTGGTTTGGACTCATTATTCCAGACTCATTTGAGCTTTAGCCAATCCTTCAACATTGTTCAGTTCCATGGTGATGGGATGGTGCCATGGGGATGATCCCTCTCCAAACAGCTGTGTTGGATTGTTCCTTGTTGTTTGGAGCTGGTTGTGTGTCTGTCTCTCACTGAGAGTTGTTTTTTCCCCCTCCTTTCCTGCCAGGCTTTTTTAAGGTTCTGGGTCAGCTGACAGAAACTGGAGTGGTGAGCCCCGAGCAGTTCATCAGTGAGTACCTCATTATTCCTTGGCATTTCCAGAGGGCTTGCAGGGAATCCAAGGATCCTGATGCTGACAGCAAAGCTGCTCAGGTGTGAGTGCCTGATGCCAGAGGGAGGGATTAGTTCAGCTCCCCTGAGGGAGCCCTTGGCACTCAGCCTTGGATCCAGTTGCAGCTCTCCCCAAGGGCTGCTTGGCTGGGACAGGCCTAAATTGTGAAACTGGTTTTTAGACTGAGCTTTAGATAGCATAGCTGCTAGGATGGATTATTTGGGCTGAATTAACGTTGCTCCAAGCCATTCTGACCTCAGCTGGAACACTCCAGGATGGGGCAGCCACGGCTTCCCTGGACAACCTGTGCCAGCCCCTCATCACCCTCTCAGGGAAGAATTTCTTCCCAATATCCCATCTGCCATTCCCCTGGTGCTGTACCTCCAGGCCCTTGACCAAAATCCCTCTCCAGCTCTCTTTGAACCTACTTTAGGTCCCCTTTAGATCCCACTCCCAGGCCAGACAGTGGGAAGGCAGCTCAGGGATTCAGGGAATCACAGGATCTGAGCCAAACCCACCACTAATCCATGTCCCCATGTGTTGCATCCACACAGCTTTTAAATCCCTCCAGGGATGGGGATTCCACCACTACCCTGGGCAGCTGTGCCAGGGCTGGACAACCCTTCCCATGAAATTCTTCCCTGTGAGGGAGAAGCTGTGGCTGCCCCTGGATCCCTGCAAGTGCCCAAGGCCAGGCTGGACAGGGCTTGGAGCAACCTGGGACAGTGGAAGGTGTCCCTGCCATGGCAGGGGTGGAACGGGATGAGCTTTAAGGTCCCTTCCAACCCAGAGCATTCCATGATTCGATGCTGTATCACCCAATGTGTGCAGATAAAGAAAAGGAATTTATGTAATTTCTGCTTTTTCCTGGGTTTGTCTGACTCTGGGGCTTTCATTTTCTGGAGTCTTGGGTGCATCATCCCTGTGATCACACAGTGATTTGCAGTCAGAGACTGCTGCAAATATCAGACTTAACTGCAGTTTCCTGTGAGCCTGAATTGCCTGTTCCATGCTGTGCCTGCTCCCACAGAAACCTTTGAGCACATGAAGAGATCTGGAGATTACTACGTTACCGTGGTGGAGGACACAAACCTGGGGCAGATCGTTGCTACAGCAACGCTGGTTATAGAACATAAATTCACTCACTCCTGTGCCAAGGTAAATCCTGCAGCTGGGAAGGGAGGAAAAGATCCTGGCCCTGACTCTGGGCATGTTGGTTTTGTGGTGACAACCTCAAGATTTATCAGGGGATGTTTAGGTTGGATATTGGGAAAATTTTCCTTGTGGAAAAGGTGGTGCAGCCCTGTACAGGTTGCTTGGGGCAGTGGTGGAGTCCCCATCCCTGGAGGGATTTAAAAGCCCTGTGGATGTGGCACTTGGGGACATGGGGCAGTGCTGGCATTGGCAGTGCTGGGGAACAGTTGGGCTCGATGGTCTTGAAGGGCTTTTCCAACCTTAAAAATGTAAATATTTTAATAATATATTTTTTAAAATATCAAGTATTTTGTGTATTTAAAAAATATATCACATCCTTGAGTGCTGGGCTATGATAGTAAAAGGAAGCTTTGGCTTTTCCTAAGGAGAAGCAGCACTTGGAGATGTGTCCCAGTGAGCCTTTGAAGGAGTCACACCTGGCTCTGACAGAGCAGATGGCTGAGGATCTCTGTGCTGGGAGTCCCAGCCAGGCTGTGAACACAGGGAGCTGGAAAGGCAATTCCAAGGCTAACAAACACTTGCCTGTGTTTTCAGAGAGGCAGGATAGAAGATGTGGTGGTCAGCGGGGAGTGCAGAGGGAAGCAGCTTGGAAAACTGTGAGTATTCCCCACCTTTGCCATTCAGCAAGCCCTTACACATCACACCTTCCTGCCAAGCACCTGGGAAGAATTCAGCCAGCAGGGATCACCAGCTGGGCAGAAAATGATCTGCAGGAAAACACAGAGAGTGCTGTCAGCCCTCAGTGTTGTGGCTGTGATAATATAATAATTAAATACTCACTGCCCCAGCATTTTAACTGCTGACTTTTTTGTCTTTTCCAGATTAACGTCCACCCTCACCTTGCTCAGTAAGAGACTGAACTGTTACAAAATCACACTCGAGTGTCTGCCCAAAAATGTGGATTTCTACAAGAAGTTTGGCTATTTGGTATCTGATGAAAACTACATGTTTCAACGGTTCTTTAATTAACAACTTCTAGGTGTTCTGGGTTCTTTTTTTTTTTTTTCTTGGAAAGACTGTTCGTGGAGGAGCTTGTGCTACAAACATTCTCTCCGTGGAAAATTTCTATAGTTTATTGCTGCAGATATAACAATCCCTATAAATAATGAACATCAGATGTGTAAATCTTGGGAAAAAAAAATTACTGAGGTTTTAGAAAGGGTCCTCTGGCTTAGAAAATAAGTTTAGAACTAATTTTTACTACTGTTGAGTCGAGGTGAAGCTTTTCTGTTCTAGCTGAGTTACAAAGGACTCGTTAAAGGGATGGTTTTTAACCAAAGGTCTATATTTTTATCTCAAATTTTTTCTTGCATTGTATTTTTCTAAAGGTTTGTGCTTCTTTTCTCAGTAGCCAAAGGACAGCCCCTGGGCCTGTCCTGCTGGCTGTGCTGGTGGAAGGATGATGTAGCTGGGGAAGGGATGAGGCTTCTCTTACACAGAATTAGTGACACACAACAGGCCTTAGTTCTGTTTTTTTTTCCATGACACCTCATGGAAGTGCTGGTGGTGCATCAGAAGTTTTATAGGCACTGTTGTCCAAGACTGGAATTGTTACTGTTGGTGCAGGTTGGGGAGAATCCTTACAGGCTGTGCTGAATTCCCAGTCTAAAAAAATGGATGTGTGCTTCTCACTGCAGGGCTCCTGCACTTTAGCTGATAACTTGGTTTTCAGGATAATTACTTTTTTTTTTCTGACATAAAACCCCAAATGTGGTTTGCAACAGGGCAGAGGGTAACTGGGAAACTGGAATATATCCCATATGGGGTGGGGTTCTGGCTGGTAATTAATGGGAGGGGGATAGGGATGGGCAGATTCAGCCTCACCTGAGGGAGCTGGGGGTGTTCAGCCCAGAAAAGCCTTAGAGCCACTTCTGGTACCTAAAAAGGAGGGAGAGGGGCTTTTGTATGGGCAGAACACAGGGAATGGCATCCCACTGCCAGAGGGCAGGGTTAGATGGGATATTGGGAAGGAATTCCTGGCTGTGAGGGTGGGGAGGCCCTGGCACAGGGTGCCCAGAGAAGCTGTGGCTGCCCCTGGATCCCTGCAAGTGTCCAAGGCCAGGTTGGAGCAGCCTGGGGGAGTGGAAGGTGTCCCTGTTGGAATGAGATGAGTTGAAAGTCTCTTCCAACCCAAACTATTCTGGGATTTACTGAACACCCCTGGCCCAGCCACTGGAACTGCAGAGGGCCAGGTGGGCTCTGGTTTTGCCAGGAGGGATTTCCACCTATGGCACAGCAAACCAGGAGAGAAATCCCCTCCCCCTTCTGCTCTCAAGATTGCTGCTGCTGCGGAGCTTCCCTCTGCTGCAAGAGTGGATCAGTGATTTTAGCACTTTTGCCAGGGTTGAAAAGTAAATAAGGTCCAAACCCTGTTGCCAACAGTGGTGTTTTGTGTGGGGAGTGACAAAGGGCACAGGCATGAATAGGGCATTATACCCAGGCAGGGTTGTTTGTGGGCAGCCAGGCCTTCCACACTGTCCTGCTGTGTGCTCTGGAGAGCGACTCTACAGTGCTGGGGGCTCTGCTTGATCTTCCTGAGGGTTCTCCACTCCATCCAGTGTCTCCTTGGTGATGTCTGCTTTATTTATTGATTATTTTTTTAAAGAATATCTTTGTTTAAGCTGAATAAATGATTGCCACCTGTATCTGGACTGTTTTTGTGGAGTGAGGATGTGCTTGTTGAGCAGCACCACCTGCTCTATTACCTGTTCCCCTTCCCTAAGCTGAAAAGAACACTTTTAGCAATTCCATGTGCATTTCTCTCCCAGGAGAAAGCAGATGTTCTTCTCTCACAGCAGTCTGCATGGCTCAAGCCCTGACTCTCATTCTGTAAAAGCAGCTCCTGCTTTCTGCTCACCCAAGTGACTGAGGTGGAGTTTCTTGCCTTTCAGTTTTAATTAATTGAAAATTTCCTCCGATTTAAAGTGGATGATTTGAATTCCATGGTATCTACACCATGTCAAGAGCCCCAGGCCTTCATGAAGAGTTAAAGAGGAGATCAGAGTGAGGAGCAGGTGCTGTGGCCCCGCTCAGATCAGTGTCAAACAGATGAAGGAGGTTGAAAGCTGCGGTTTGTGGCTGCATCACAATGGCCCAGGCAGGCACAGCCCCCTGGAGCAGCTGAAGAGCTCTTTGTTGTCCCAGAGGTGACATTCCCACCTCTCTGGAAAAACAGCAGCTGAAGAGCTGCAAGTGCCCAGGCTGGGCCTTGGAGGTGACACTGTGGGGTCAGGTGTGCCCCTGGGACACCACGGGGACAGGGACAATGCCACAAGTGCCAGCCCTGAAACCTACCCACAGTGCAAGGGGCTGAAGAGGGAACAGCAAGGGCCCCTGGGTATTTGTTATGTATCTGTAAAAAACAGACCTAAAATATAGACATAAGTATCATATATATGTATATAAATATATATAAAGTATATGTATACATAAAATATAGATATGTATTTATGTATAGATAAAACCTATATTACAATTATAATGTATAAATATATATGTGTAGAGAGACTATATACATACACATATATAGAAAGAATATAGAGATATATATATAGAGAGAGAGAAAATCAACCATGACCTCCTTGAAGCAAACACCAAACCTTTCATAAACGTCTTCCCCCTGGGAAACTCTACCCTGGACCACAGAGGCATCTCTGTTTTAGATATATAGAATTATATATATTTATATAAATATATATAATCATACAAATAAAATAATAAAAAAATAGCAGTATCTGGACACACAGTTGATTAATACTGGTTTGGATTGGAAGGGACCTCAGAGCTCATCTCATTCCACCCCTGCCATGGACGGGGCCACTTCCACTATCCCAGTTTGCTCCAAGCCTTGTCCAGCCTTGCTTGGAATACTTTTTTTTTTTTTTGTCAGAACCAGCCCTATCAGCTGCTCCAGAGGCTGAATGTTACCTCCTCCCTCTGATTTAATTTTTTGGCCAAGACCTTCCCCATCCTGAGGAAGAAATCTCCAGCTCCTTCACTCTGCTTCCCCTAAGCTGGAAAAGGCCATTTCAGCATCTCAGTGAAGAGCTGTGGATTCCCAAAGATTTGGGTGCTGCAGTTTTGTGTTTGAACCTGGGAAATAAAAAATAATTCACCCTCCACTTGTTTTTCCAGTCCACTGTGACCTGCCTTTAGTTCAACCCCCAAAACCAAATATTGAAACACCTCCTGGCAGTGAAACTACAGCAGACAGACACAGGAAGCTTTAAATAGACAGCTTAGTAATAGATCTGAGGAAAATTAAATCTCAGAATCCCTTAGGATCTGACAGGCAGACAGTCTAGAATGGCTGTAAAAGGCACCAGGAGAGGGTAATGCCAGGAAAAAGAACTGGATTGATGAAAAATCCTTAGTCATGGAGCTTGTGAGAAGCAAGGGAGTGTTCCAAGGACCCCAGAGAGAACAGACCCAGACACCGGAGAGATGAATCAGTGCCTTCCATCTGTGTCTCATCCCTCCCCTTCCCCAGGGACCTGCAATAGAGGGGGATTTGCTGCTTCCCAGCCCATTCCAGCAGCAGCACGTGGCTGCCAGTGTCTGGGGGCTGTGCAGGGACAGGGACAGCCCCGCTGCTGCCATGTGGGGGGACAGGCACAGCCCCTCGTGCTCCAGTGGCTGGGAATGCATTTCTCAACAGCTCCAGAGCATTTCTTTATGGAGGGGCAGTTGAGAGCAGGAACAAACCTTCTACAAAAGTGCAAACCAGCACTGCACGCTGAGCCAGGCAGCTGGACACTGACACGCTGCAGTTCTCCAGGAGATACATCACTTCTTTTTCTGGCTGTAAAGTTCCTAACTAAAGCATCTCACTATTTATTGCAGATTTCTTTTCCCCCTGAAGGATTTACACTGTTCCATCAGTGCTGTAGGTGGCAGAGGGTAGCAGCAGGAACAGGAATGTGCTGCTGAATGCTGGGTGCTCTGATCCCCAAACCCTGAGCCCATTTTCTCCCTGTTAAAAAACACAGTCTGCTTACCAAGCTCACACTTCCCAAACACACAAGTTTTTCTACCAGCCTTACTCAGTCACCACAGTGCTCCCAAATCATTCCAGCCCTTGGTTTTAGGCAACAATCATTGGGAAATAAAGCAGATACAGAACCAGGACTGTACTTGCACAACCTCTGTGCTGCTGAGACAGAGTTACAGCTGCACAAACCACCCTGACAATCCCCAGTCTGAAAACCTTAAAGCCCCAAGAAGCGTTTCCTTAGCTGAGTAAGGTTTTACAAGAGCTGAGGTGAATCCTGTAAGTCTTGATTCAATTATGGGCAGTGCCCTGGGCCTCAGTTTTCAAACACAAATCCCATTTTTACCTCAAATGATGCCACTACTGCCTTGTAACAGCAACTACTCCTTGAAAGCCAGTTTGAGGATGTTCTAGACAGTTCAACTTGAATTAACCTCTATGTTTATGTTCCTAAAGCACATTTTTGCCATAACACATACTGAGAACAAGGTGAATTTTAGCAAACTTTTTCTTTACTAAAGTCTCTTGTTATAAATTACACAAATAACTTTATAAACAAATCCCCCCCGCTTGCATTTTGTTTAAAGTAATAACTTTATATCATACAAATAAAGAAATTTCAAGTATGAAAAGTGCATTATTGCAATAATACCTCTTTGCAAGTCCAAAAATCTTGGTTTAGATTAAAACTGTAAAGTGTAAAAAAGGAGTAAAACAATCAGTGCCATCTATTCATTCAAGAAGTCCAACATCTTAAAAATGATGCTTAGTGTGTTGCAGAGGCAGATTTACATCTGAAAGCAACATGTAATTGAAAAGAAGCTATGTGTGTTCATTGTTTTGCATTAATTCTTTTGCTTTTTGTTTTTTTTTTTCCCCTAGTTTTCTTCACCTTTCTTGGCAGGAATTCTCACTACAACCAGTGCTTGTCCTCAGCCATCACCCGTTCTGTGCTGCTGCCACCTGCATGGTGCCAAGATCTTAATCCTCCTCGTGCATCCTCTTCAAACTTCCTGCAGGAGGCAAGAGGCAACTTCAGCCATGGGAAACCAGG